TGCAGGCAGCCGCCCTCCCGCCGCCCGCAGACCCCCGGCAGAGCTTGGGCGCCTGCCTGCACCCCCGGCACGGCACCGGGAGGGAGCGCACCGCCGCCTTCCCGCGCCGAGCTGCAGTGGTCTCAGCAGATGACACTGCAGGTTTCGGAGGAGATGTCACCCCCGGGCCTGGCTGGTGTCGCAGCCCGGTGTCACGGGCAGCAGCAGGTCACAACTCAGGCGCAGCTGCGGACAGAGGCGTGTCCCCGCTCCCCACCAAACCCAGCTCAGCAAGGGCACAGATCTGCCCTCAGCCCTGGCTGATAAGAAGCATCACTGGTGGCACTCGGGCAGGCAGCGGTCCTTGGGCTGCCCAGGCGCAGGGGGACACAGCGTGCTGGCCCTGGCAGAGCCCTTGGCTCCTGGTCGGAGGGGCTGGCAGCATCTGCCCCCCCCAGGCTGGGGCCACCGGGAGCCGTGATTCTGCAGCATCCCCCTGTGAGCCCCTGTGGGTGCTGCCAGCGCAGGGGCTGGGCTCTGGAGGGAAACCCAAGCCCCGAGGGCTTCCCAGGGCTTGTGGCTCCAGTCTCCTAAGGCAGCCAGTCCCGGGGCCGAGGCGCAGGGCAGGGGGGGACTCGGCGGTGCTGGATGAGGTGTCAGCAGCCTCCTCCGGCAGACACCTTCCACTCATCCCACCTGCGGGTTGCGGGGCAAGAGCCCTGCAGCCCTTCTGCCCCCTCCTGGAGGGAGGCAAAGACTGACAGCCCCCCTTTCAGGCTCCACTCAGCCAAGTCCTTCACATTTCATGACCTCAACTGCTGTGGTGCTACAAAGCAATCAAGAACCGGGAGCAGCAACACAGCTCCGAAAAGCCACAAGAGCCATCTCTAGAGCTGTGGGCTTGAAGGTGACAAAGTCCATTCCACCTTTCTAATAAAAAACAAGACTTCCACTCTCCTGGTTGTGACGATGGTCAGATGTGAAGTTTCAGAGGTGACACAAAGGCCAAGCACTTCAGTAACGCTTGGTGAGACGCATAGGATTTCCTTCGGGCTGCCTTGGGGCAGCCCAGCTTTCCCAGCTGGCCTGTCACATGGCCAGCAGCGGTTCAGACCGAGCTGGAACTCCATGGTGAGGGCTCTACGTGTGCCACCAGCACCCAGCCTCCCCCTGCCAGAGCCACAAAACGGCTACTGTAGTTACAGAGCCATTCGGCCCCGGGTGTGCAGAGCACCAGCCTGGTCTGTCCTGGGTCCCCCCCAACCACTCGCTGCCTGTTTCAGCCGTGGCTCTGCCCGGTGGTGCTGTGGTGGGGCAGAAGGCAGTACGTTGCCCCAGAGGTCAGCCCGGCAGCTCCAGTCCTGACCTGCACCTTCTACAGCCCAGCACCCAACCCTGACCACGATGGAAGTTCCAGGCTTCCCACAACCCTTCCTCCCCAGAACCCGAGCTGGGAGCAACTCTGGCTTGCACAGCAGGACAGCAAACTGGGAGATGTCCCCCAAAGGGAGAGGGTGTCAGAGTGAGAAACAGCCTCCTCCCTCCCCACCAGGATCACCAGGCCTTTCCCACCTGGCCCTGGAAGCCCACCTCTACCTAATGGCCTGCAAAGCCACCGGCGGGTCCTGGGGCAGCCCCATGGGTGGAGAAAACACCTCCAGCACAGGCAGAGTGTCCTGGGCCTCATTCCTCCTCTGCTGCTCCCAGCTCAGGGGCAGCTCAGGCATTCTTACAGCACAAGAAGAGGCAAAGGAGGAGTTTGTGCTCCCACAGGTAGGGAAAGACTACTTGTCCCAGCAAAGGACAAGCAGGAGCACTGCTAGGCCAGATTTGGTGTTTTACTAGTCCTGCCCCACTTGGAAAAAAACAAACCCAGACACCAAGCTGCGACCACAGACCACTGCCAGATCTAGTAGATTTGGTGAGGTGACAAGACACAGCACATCCGACAGCATTCAACAGGGAACCAGTTTAATCAGATATTGGGTTTGCACCGTTCTTTTCGGTATCACATGTTCTGCATTTTTCTAAGAAATACAAAGCACTCTGGGGTTGTACAGAACACTGGTCCTGGAGAAGACATGAGGGTGAGAACAAGACAGTCGGATACAAACACACTGACCACTGCATTGGGCAGTGGGAACCCCTCATCCCCACCTTGCTGGCAGAAACAGCCACTTTACAGGAGGAAGAGAGATCCTAGTGGGTCCATGCTGAGGTCAGGGTACCCCAGCACATGTCCGTACCCCCCTCAGCATGACACTAATGAACACACTGCATCCACGTTCCATAACGGAGTGAAAAACCCCTTCATAAAACCAGTTGACAAGCATCCAGCATCATCTACTCTATAGATAAACTCAGAGCCAGGGTAAGTCACTTCATCCACAAGATTAACAGCTGATTCAATAGGTTGAACACATGCTACTTACAGCACATAAATAGAAGTTGTGGCTTTAACTTAAAAAAACATGTTATGAAGGTCTACAGTCCGATTGCCTAGACACTGTCGCATGCACACGACTATCGGCCTCCACAGGAGCGGGCTCCTCTGGGTAGCGAGGAAAGCTGTCTCTGCATCAGCTATTCCAGGTGTCACGGGACAGCTAGCCTGCCCCCGTGCTCGCATGTTAGCCACACAGCCATTAAATAAATACGGAACTAGCTAAGAGGGGGGTTTATACAAACTCTAGGGCTGTTTTTAAAAAGAAATATTAATCCATCGAGGGTTACAGTTAACAGGTATCATCATCGCTTTATTTCTTAGAACCAGAAATAGTGAACAAACAAACAACAACAAAAAAAGACACAGCATGTCATTGCCAGAAGTGCAACCAGGGTACAGGGTAGCTCTCAGCGAGACGAAGGGCTTCTGCAGCCGGGAGGGGAGGGGAGTCACGGCAGAAGATGGCAGCTCCCGCTCCCGGCGGGCGCCTGACCTTGCGACGCTCTCCGAGGGGATTTGTCACTGCAGCCTCCACCCCACCCGCCAGCGGGACCCACGGCATGTGGGACCACCGAGTACCCCAGCGCCCACCGAGTCAGGGAGCTGCGGGAAGGTGACTTTGCAGGGAGGTACCCCGAAATAAGAGACCGTAAAATAACTAGGACCGGAGCTTCTTTACAGTAGGCAATGCACTATGAGCACTATGCAGTAGGCAATGCACAATGCACTATGTTCACTACCATGAACAAAACTAAGACTAACAGTCACTTCTTGCCAACGGAGAAACTTTTCCTCCTTTTCACATTTTCCAGACCTCTGCCCTCCCCGCTGCAGTGCGGCCGGGATGGCGTTGCTGCTGTCTCTTATACACAT